CTTCCAGGAGCAAGGGCCGGCTCTCCTAGTCAGTGCCAGCGGCTGCAGCCCAGAGCGGGGCTCCACAGAAGCCAGCGCCGAATGCCTTCACTGTGTTTTGAAAAACCCCCATCAAAGATCTCACTGAATGATATCTGTAAGGGCTGTACTGTTGTTCCTTTTCAAAAACTGCAGCGCCCTTCTCCGGCACTTGAAAAAGCGTTGCTCTTGCTTTTCATCTTCCCCCCTCTTGGAGTGTAAACATTGTTTGGAGTGAAAGGAGCTGAAGGAGCGCTTGCTTTCGCCTTGAAATTTCATTTTTAAATAAGAGGGGGAGAAAATCCTTTTTCTGACTGATACTAATAATACAGGTCAAAGTGTCAGGCGATCTACAATTAAATGGAAAACAAAAAAAGGTTTCCCCTCTCTTTTCCCACAGCACAATGGCGCTGGAATATAAATTACCGATGAAGATGAAATAATGCTTGAAAGCCCCCAGGGCAGGGCGGTGCGGTGTTTACAAAGTGTTTTCCGTGGCATGATGAGACATTAAAGATGACGGTAACCCATGGACTTGGGGTGATGGTGAATAGGCCAAAGCTAGCATGAGGTAGGGTTTTAGGTCCCCGTGGCCTGTGACCCCGTGATATGCTTTGTTTTGCAAGGGCAGCTGCAGTTATCAACAGATGTTTCAGCTATAAATAATTGGTATCATCTCAGAAAAGATCCACCTACCTGGGGAGAGGCATAATAGCCAAACCCCTGCCCGGGTTATTACAGCCACATTAATCTCCCATCTCTCCAGGTTCCTCAGAGAGCGGCCTGCAGGTGTTTTTTTCTGGGAGAGCGCTGACAAAGTCTCTCGAGCCGGCAAGCTTTGTGTGGACTGTAAAGGAGGCTGGCCCCTGTTAATAAATTTCTGTCGGTGGCCACACACCAAAGAGGAGAGGATTGGAGAGTTGGGGAAGGTTTTTTTTATAAGAAGAATTCATGTTAAGACTGCATAGGAAATGTAAGAAGAATTAATGACTGAAAAAAAAAGACAGATTTAGGTGTTTAACTACTTTTCCTGTCAGTGGGAATCTGACAGTTAATCGGTTTTGAAACTACGAGCATTCGGCTCCTTGGACTATGACACTGAAACAGACTTGATCGAGTGAGTTACAGGATTTACTGGGTCCACTCTCAACAAGCTGCATCTCAAAAGCGAGCAGTAAGTGTCCCAGAGAGCCTGGCCCATGGAGAGCTATAGTTCTCTCTATGCATACGCAGAGAGCTTTAGCGATTGTGCGCTTGGGGTCTGGCACAATGGAAAAGCATCCTAAAAGTCTGAGGAGGTGTGGCCGCTTAATTTATAGCTTGCTGGGTAAGCGATAGAAAAAACGGTGCTCAAGAGAAACTCCCGGATTAAATACTCAAGGACTCAAGAAAGACGTGGGTGGGTTCTTAGAGCTGCCACTGGGTGACCTTGTGCGGGGAACAAAGTCCTTCTATTCTCCCTGTTTCCACAGTTGGGAATCCATATAATTTATAGAGTTACATGAACTATAGAGGACGGTAGGAGGAAAGATGCGTGCTCTTGAAATGGATTGAACAACCCCAAACAGCTTCCCTTCTACTTCACGTTGCAGATCCAAACACAGAGACTACAACTTGAACTCCAGCTGCTTCCGTTTTCACCACTATGAAGGGGATGCCGCTACCAGCTTTGGATGTAGGGAGAGAACTGCATCCAGCCCCTGACCCAGTAAAGATTATTGATTGGGGGTGGAGAGTTGGAATCCCCAAGTTCCTACATGATACATGCTACTAACACCGTCACATGGTGTGTGTGTGTGTATGTGTGTGTGTATGCGTGTGTGTGTATGTGTAGGGTCTCAGTGTAAGAACGACGGCTGTAGGAATTAGCAGCATGGTTGCAATACTGTCATATGCCTTGTATAGTTGTATTAGCCTTTGCTATTCCTGGTACTTCCCTGAGATGCTCTTGGGTGTTCGTGTAATAGGGACACATCAACTCAACAGGCAAAGATAACGTCTGTTGACATCCTATCCATAGAGAAAGATATAAAAAGTCAACAAAACTACAAATAGAGTTCTTCAGCCACACCGGCCATTTCGGGTGTCAGAAGCCTCATGTGGCTAGTGGCTGCCATACTGCAGAGCACAAACACCGAGTGCTTCCACGGCTACCAAGAGTTCTGCGGACAGCTCGTGGTCACTGGCATCTCCGCTAGCAATCTGAGCATCTGCTTTGTCTTTCGTGTTCTTCCCTTAGACTCGCTGGAGAATGGAAGAGGGAAACAGAGGAAGAGGCTGCTCTCTGGTCCCCTGTGTAAGAGGATGGGAATGGCAATAATCACTATAGGGCTATTTTGATAAGAAAGATTTGATGCGTATGTAAATTCCACAGTACACAAATTATAGTTACAATCCTTCTACTTTTACACAGGTACCAACCATAGGTATTAAAATTTTCCACTTAAGATAGGTTTGCTAGGGGCTGGAGAGATGGCTCTTCCAAAGGTCCTGAGTTCAATTCCCAGCAACCATATGGTGGCTCACAACCATCTGTAATGAGGTCTGGTGCCCTCTTCTGGCCTGCAGGCATACACACAGACAGAACAATGTATACATAATAAGTAAATAAATATTTTAAAAAACAAGATAGGTTTGCTAGCACACACTGAAAATGTGGAGGGAGGATCTAGTGTTCAAGGCCAACCCGGGCTACATACTGAGACTTTGTCTCAAAGACAAAACCCAAATAAAACCAACACACTAAAATCTCCCTCTTTACAGGATCTACTTTCCTCTGCCAAGAATCTCCAGTCTGCTTGACCTGTTTTGCCCTGAAGATGCTCTTGTGTGTTCATAGATCTCCTGAGAAATTAAAAGTAAAAAACAATGTTACTATGAGGCTGGAGAGAACGACTCAGTGGTGAAGAGCATATACTGCTCTTACATAGGACCTAGGTGCTGTTTTCAACCCTCCTGTGGTTTCTCATGATGATCTTTAACTCCAGTTCCAGGGGATCTGATACCCTCTTCTAGCCTTCTGGGCAACAGGAATGCAGTGGTACACATACGTGTGTACACATTGAAGCAAAACGCATGCACATAAAATAAAAATAAATAAATATTTTTTTTTAAATGTAAAGCTACCACAAAGGAAAATGGTACTCCTCTTAACTCCCCAAGAACTCAAGCCTGGGTCTTGAGCCTTACCTGGATTCTTATGTTGTTATTATAAAATATAATGGTTTTAATAGTTCTTTGAAAACAAATGCATTTGTTACATTTTGATCATGTTCATCTCCCCATTCCTCTCCATCACTCCTCCTAGATTCCCCCAACTCATGCCCTCTTTCTTTTTAATAACCCCTCCACTGTTCTTGATGTTCTTTCTTATGGGGATGGTGCTATCAGTTTAGTTCTGTGGTTCCTAACCTTCTTAATGCTGTGGCTCTTTAATACAGTTACTTGTGTTGTAATGATCCCAACTATAGAATTATTTCATTTGCTACTTCATGACTGTGATTTTGCTACTGTTATATATATTAATGCAAATATCTAATATGCAACCCCCAAAGAGTTGAGACCCATAAGCTGATTTCTTTTGTGTGTGTGTTGGGGGGGGTTTTGCTAGTATAACTTTAATTTGTAAATAAAAGCACTGATATTCCTATCCAAAGTATACAAACAAGTCTTAACAGACAAAAATCATTCATTTGGTCTTATTAGATCATAACCAACGAAAACTTGACATAGATATCAAGAACAACTACAGAATCTCTAAAACCCTGAAGATTCACATATATACTTCTGAATGATCAGTGAGTAATTGAGTCAATCAAAGAGTAAACTTAAAAAGTTATACAAACCAATGTAAACAAGCAAAACTACAGATTACCAGACTCCTTTGGGCACAGCAAAAACAGTTTGAAGAGATAAGTTTAGAGACAGAAGCACCCAGGCTAAAAACAATCAAAGAGATCTCAAATCATCCAATGATGTATTCAAATTGTTTGAAAGCAAGTTAAACTTCAAACAAATAGGAAGAAATAATAACAATCAGGGTATAAGTCAATGAAATGGAAATTAAAAGAATAATACAAAAATTAATGAAAGAAACAGTTCTTTGAAAAGGCAATAAGGTAGACAAATGCTTAGCCACATTAAGAAAATAACCAAGCTTAATGAAGTTAAAGATTATAGAACTATTAGGACAGATACTAGTGAAACCTAGAGGTTCATTAAGGAACAGTTTCAAACCTTACATTATAATGCATTGAAAAATGTGTTTTGAAAACCAAGTGCATTCATGACCCGGTTTTAATGCTTCCAGCATGGCGTTAGTCATGAGGAGCCCAGAGAGTGAACAGGATTTCCAGGGTGTGTAGAAATGACCTGACATGGATCAATAGTGGATCAAGAGCTTAGTCATCAACATAAGATGGCGGGGAGGTTTATTGTTGTTGTTTTGTTTTGTTTTTCTTTTAGGGGGTGGATTTTGAGACAAGGGTTTCTCTGTAGCTTTGGAGCCTGTCCTGGAACTCACTCTGTAGACCAGGCTCAAACTCACAGAGCTCTGCCTGCCTCTGTCTCCAAAGTGCTGGGAATAAAAGCAGGTGCCACCAGTGCCCTGCTAAGATTTTTTTTTTAATAATCTAGTTTCTAGAAAGTGTCAGTTCAAAATAAAAAAAAGTTTTAAAGCACAGTAGAACCAAAACAACTGAAGTCCACCAAGAAGATGGGACTACTTCAAGACAACAGGTCTCAGACTATGCCTGTCATCCTCCCTTCTTCATTCATAATAGGTTTGTCCTTCTACCACAGGAGGTTACAGGGAAATGACGCTTTTCAAATGGCCATTTCCCTCACATTAGTCAGTCTGGCAGAGCTGACTATAAGAGTCAGGCCTGTCTTGTACTTCAGAGAAATTTAATCTGTTAGACCACTTAGAGTCTAACTGCCTCCCTTGGGGATGTCGGAGGGACAGGTGGTGTGACTTTTCCTACCAGTAGCTGCTGCAGCTTGGCGCCAATCACATCTTGCAGGTTTGTTTTGTCCTCTGGGCTCATGGCTTGTTTGTACTGCCACTTTTCAGGCACGAAGGGCCACTTCATTTCCTTTGCCTCCTGGATCAGGGTCCTTAACTCGCCGGGGAGTGAAGCTGAAAAGGTCAGAGGTCAGTTAAGGAAATTGCCGTCAAAGAAAGGGCCGTGGAGCCCCCCGTGTTATGATGAAGCACCTCGGTGACTAAAACACTTTTCCTATCTGTCGCTGGCTGGTCCAAGCTGTTGGGGCTGCCTCGAAGAATAATAGCAAGGAGCTATCTGTCATGGGTGGCCTGAGTCTACTGTGCCCTACAGGTAAATTGGGGTAGTCAGGCATTGAGAAAGGTTTTTAACAGGAAGTCAAGCACTTGAGTGACTGTCTCTGCATGAAGAATCAGAGAAAGGCATGAAGGAAAGATGCTTTTCCTTGTAAAGTGAGAACGGGGCTGGAGGGGAATGGTATTTTGAGCTTGTGGCACCTGAGAAGGGAATCAATTTGCTCAGCCTCTTTCTGCTTCTCTAAGACCTTGGCCCATCTTCCCCTTTAACCATCGACTATGCCGAAATACAGACAGAAAGTACAAACCCACAAACAGGATGTTTGATGATACCAGTTAACTGTGAAGTGACCCCGTTTCCCATTAGTAACTGTGTTAAGTCTCTCAGCCGGTACCAATCCTAACTATTCTGGTTGACAGTCTCTGGTCAAAACTTCAGAAACACAAAAAAGCTCTGAAAACTGACAGTATTTCCCCTAGACTTGATATTTAAACCACACCAAAGTTGAGTAGGGTTGATTGTCCAACTTGACGCACAAAATTCCACAGCAAAAAGTTCTGCACTGATGAGGTCCCCTCGTTCATGTCACTCCGGGTATAACAGATAGTACACACTCCACAGGACCTTCCTCATAATGGAGACAGTCTGTTCTGAAGTAGGTGTGATGCCAGTGTTCTGAACAAGGTCGTCTATAGATTGGTCTTGTGTCTCATATTGAACACATCCCAAACTTAGTTCATCAGCGGTTTTCTAATTCTATTTTCCTCTATATTTTCTCTTAATGAATGGAACCACAATACACTGTATCAGCCAAATCTGAAACCCAATGTCATTCTAGACATTTGCCTTCTTTCTCTCCATGAATCAAGCTAACTATCAAATCCCGTAGATCTTATAGCCTATCTCTCTTTTTTTCTTTTTGGTATTTTCAGCCCATCCTCACAAGCCTTTGCAAAGTTGAGTCTCTCCCCAGCTAGATTAGGACAACACCTTTCACAACATTTTTTTTTTTAGTTCTTTAGTTTGTAGTTTCCCTACTCCCAAAGGCTGTGACCAAACTCAGGCCCACTGCATTTGGTATTCAAAACAAAGATCATCATTTCCTGTTAGTCTGTCATGGCCTCTCAGTGGAATTGAAATGCCTCTTCCAAGCTTCCAAACCCACAGATGCACGCTCCCTTCAGCCTACATTCCACTACTCACTGAACACATCTCCCTGTCCTCCTGGGCTGAAAGCATCCTCAACACAGCTGTTGTGTATCCTATCCCATTCCTTTTGTAAATTCCATCACTATGGCAGCATACTGTCCTGGTTAAAACACCACGGTAGCATTATGTCAACCTGATCCATACTAAAGAGAGAAAATAGAACGTGACAGATGAGCAGAATAAGAAGAAAAAAAAAAAACCTGCCTTAGTCCTGGACATCTTAATGTGAACTTGCCACCAGCTGAGCAAAGGTAAGGAACTTTCTAGGTGGGGAAAGACTGCTTGGCATTGACGGGACCACACCAATGAGTGACTAGTGTCAATGACCAGAGATGACTCTATCGTATCCCATTGAAAGCGTGACCTCAAGTTCAGCAACCCCTGGGCCATTACTCTGCAGCAGCATCCCCTAGCAGAGCCCTGGAACTCTGTGCTCAAGTTGGGCTGCAAAATATGTCTGCGCAACTGCTAGTGAAAGAATTTCAGTTTCTAAAAATGTAACATTTGTGCAGAGCAAATTTCTTCTAAATGGCAATGAGTAAGATGACTGTTGGAGAGGATGGTCCCGTGTGGTCCAGGGGACTCACAGATAATGTCCCTTTCCATTCTCAGTGTCTCAATTTGACTGTAAATAACCTAGACTCAAAGAGGGAAGAGTGGTCACATGACAGTTCTTCAATTGACGATCGTTTTGGTCCCCTCCATAACCCTTCTCCAAGCCAACCCATAAATAAGCCGGTGGAGCACACTGGAAATGTAAGACACCCCTAAAAGACAGGCGTTAAACCAGTACTGCATTTCTGTTTGCATTGCATATCTTACTCCACCTCCCAGGCTGGCGGGAACAAGGACGAGAGAGATGGAGCTGAAGGTAAAGGCAAGAGAAAACGCTGAATCAATGTTCCCAAGTTCACCAGCTGCCGTGCCCGTAAGTGACCCTGTACGAACGTCTTTCTCTGTGATTCCAGACAGTAACAACGTCCATAGGGCCACAACCAGTGGACCAAAGAAAGCTGTTTACAGCCGGCTGCCCGCCTGAGCAGAAGGGGTTCTGCACAGATGTAGGCCACAAGAAGTGAGGCTCCTGCAAGCGCACCACTCAGCATGTGAGAATTCCTTCCTCACTGGTTATCATCTGGCTGTAGTTCTAGAAGCTTACTTGAAAGACCACGTCTTACTGAATGACTTTACAGCCTTAATTTGCCCTTATATGACATTAAATCCATTGTTTCTCCTAATTCCTGAAGAAAATGGCATCTGACTAGGGCCTCGGACTTCAGCAGGGAGAACGTGAGGCCTAAGTGAGGACACGCACTAAATACAGAAAGAGGACACTAGGAAAGCTGTAGGAAAAACAAGAGCAACAACCCAACCCACGCACAGCCCCAGGGAGACAGAGAGCCAGCTATCCCTTATTGGCTGGGTGCCTAGAACCTGTGGTTGAGGACCAGGCACTGACAAGCTATGATCCCAGGTTGACAAGTACATGCAGCTAGCTGTCAGTCACACGCTTGTCGGTCTATCTAGTAAAGAATGCAATTACACACTGAGGTTTGTTTTGGGAACTGACTGCATGTACAGGACTTTCATCCAGAAGGAAGTAGAGAGACAGGTTACATAGTGGAGGCTGCTATAGGTACCTAAAATGCCCCCATTTTAGACAGGTATGTGCCTGTGAACCATAACTGGGGGAAAACCCATCCCAGGACCTACCCATTACAGGGTGTATTTTATTCAGGCACCTTATATTTAAATGAAACATCCAAATACTGAAAGAAAACAGGACAAAGTTAAAAGCACATACAAAGACCATACTTAAACAAGTGGAAGGAAAATGATTTGAATAATGAGAAAGAACTGAAATAAAGATGTTGCCTCTCCAAAGCCAGTGAAAGAAGAAATGAATCTTTTGTAGCTTTCGAGATTTTGCGATTGAATTTCTTAAACAATATCTGTAACCTTAAATAGCACAAACCAGGAAGCAAGAAAAAAATACAGACCATGATTACGCTGTAAACAGTCTTTTGTAAGATCATTGAATATATTTTTAAAATGGCCATGAGGAGCTTGTTGGTGACAAAGAAAATAGAGATGACCTATTTATGGACGCCATGGAAGTCTATGGAAGTTGATGAAGCACAAAACCCTTGTTTGAGAAAAAGTATGTGCTACCATTCAGAAGTTGCTTCAATTTTTTTAATAATTGAAATTTGCGTGCACCAGCCAACTTGGACCCTTTGTTCTTCCTGAACTAAACTGTTTCTAGTAGCCTCATGTTTACTGAAGCCTAAAATTAGAACTGACAGCAATTCTCTGCAACAAAGTGGGCTTCTTCCCTGCCCGTCAGCCGGCAGCCCGTCCCATTCACATCCTGGAAATCCACTCATCCCTCAGCGGTCATCTGCCAGGAGCAGAAAAATAGGGCAGAGAGGCGAATGTGTCATGCAGGCGAGGGTGAAGGTACTGAACCTGCTGGCTCAACCCCTGATGTCTCCCATCAGAACCTCACCTCTGCACCGCTGGTCCTCGCTCTTGTCTTCGGTAGACACATCTGGCGTTTCCAACAAGAGATGATCCAGCGCTTGCTTGCATTCATGCAATATCGAAGTCACAGCGTCTTGATTATTCATGATGATTACCCACCCTCCAGGATGAATTGAGTGTCCCTGGGTCTACGGTGATCAATTACCTAGGAGAGGCATTGATTCTCAATAAAGAAGTCCCTTGAAGGCCGAGGTACCTGGTGAACAAAAGAGCGAGAAGGATGATTAACTAAAGCGTCATCCATTATCCGTGAGACTCAAGCAGGGAGGGATAATAGAGCAAACACATGAAAATCCATGACAGGCCCCGAGGATGCTGTTAGGGGAGCATGTGAAGTGATTGCTGGGTCTGGTCTAGATGGGCGGTACCTTGAAGGCGTAGAGCGCAGAAGGGAGAGAGTCTGGGGATAGAGCTGGGTCACCCACGGTGAGGTTGGTGAACTCGCACGGGCCAAATAAAATGAATGTGCCCGTGATTTATGTACTTTCTGCGTACTTCACTCAGCGCCCCTGGGTCGCAGTAGCTCAGAGCCTTTCCCCTTTCTGGAAGTCCACAGGAAGCATCTGGCTGACAGTTCTAATAGCCACACTCAAGCACGCGGTACTCTGAAGGTCCCCGCTTTCACAGCCCACGACTGATTTCCCCTGTGCGGCATTCTTCATGGTATTTAGCGCTATGTGATTTGGATCAAGATAGGCAATGACAGCTGCCAAATTTAAAGCTCTTCACTGCCAGGCATATTGCCGAGTAAAATAGAGAAAATGGTATCCCAGAAAACCCAATTTCCCCGAGCTCTGACGCGGATGGAGCCGTCCCAGAGATGGATGGATGGACTGGCGTGGGCAGATAAAATGCAAGTAGATTCCTTATGCAAATGTGAGCTAGACAGAAGGAGCAACTGCAGTCAGGCTAAGTTTGAGAATAACATAATTCACTAGCAGTGAAAATGCCTAGCCGATAAACAAAAAGCAACTCCTGGTTAGCAAATATTTTGGTCTGTCTTCCTTTTGTTGAAGGAGTACCCTGTAAACAAAAGACATTGTCCTCTTGGCCCTTGACGGAGTAAGGGGTGGCATTTCTCTGACACTTGGAGAGGCTGTTGAAGTGCATTACCAGAGAGACAGTCTCACAGGGAAGATGGTAACAGTTATAAGGACGGCACTAGCGCTTCTGCTTCAGAGCTCGTCCGCACAACGACGACATCACCGAGAATGTTAAAGCAGAGAGTTGCTGTGTTGATATTAAATGCGCCCTTCTATCCCGTGGTCTGGATTTTAAAGCACGCCAAACTAAGCCTTCAGGCTATCATAAGCTTATTTGACTCAGAATAATAATGCACTTATCAGCGAACACAAGCAGAGCTCTCACGTTGACGTTCTATCGCACTCAAAGAGCACTGGCAGGAATGAGGATGGTGAGAAATTGGCCACAAAATCAGCTAAGGCTGAGTGTAAACTTACCCTCTCTCTTTCAACTAAAGCGTTGCAGAAAGGATTCCTGTACAGACTGGGTGCTTGCACTAAACTGTGTCCACAGCCCCCTCTAACTGAAGTGTCTACGAGCCGCCGTGTTTTGTGTAATAAGCACCTCACAAGTGTGTCTAGCTAGGAAGAGACAGGCCTCTAGGGCTGGTCAGAATTTTATCCCCGGACTCCTGCTACAAATAAACGAGGACTTGCTCATCCCTCTGCATACTGCAGCGAGCAAGCAAGACATAGACAGTAGCATCCCGTTCTCACCACGCCACTGACCAGGAAGGTATTGGCTACAGTGTGAGCTTGGTTCAGAGATGGAGGTAGGCACTGGCAGTCCAGCAAGGGAAGAGCAAACTGCTGCTCATGACCTGCAGGTGAGTCAGGTGATCGCCTTTGTTTAAATCCCAAATTAAAGCAGGAAGTGGACTATCTTCCCCAGAATCATTTTTGGGGGGGAGGTGGGGGGAAGGGCGGCACAACAACAGAGTGGGAAGAACTGGTCGGTGCACATAGGAAGAAGAAAAGTATGTTACAATATGATCCTAATAACTTAGCATCCTTTCTTATAAAGGAAAAGCCATCGTCTTCTAGAGTTCAAAGAAAAGAGAGTAGAAAGGAGATTCCCAGGGGCCTAAAGGGCAGAGATACTGGGAGCCGTTATTACTATGAGCAAATGTGTTTTGGACTTTAACACAAAACATGAAGAACAAAATTGCCGTCTGTAGCCACACTGCCCCAAGAGTAGAAGATAAACAGGATCGGGCCTTGTTAGAAGTTGGATGAAAGACTGCTGGGAATATTGGATCTTATAGCCACCGACAGTGGCAATCCAGCCTCCAACCATCTCCCCTTCTCTGAGCCACTAATGGACACACCCATGTCAGCACGTAGCTTCTTGGACTGCTCGCCGCAGAGTGGACCTGGGCAGGAAGAAGATTAAATCTAACTGGAGAGTACGCACGTGGGGCTCGGATGTTCTTGAGTTGCAGGCATTTGTTAGCGTGTGCAAGCTACATAAAAAGAGGGAAAGGAAGGGCAAAGTTGGGGAAGAAAGTCTCAAAGACTCAAAGAGTACTTATCTATTAAGAGCAACTCAGAAGGATGCTCAGCCAACATCTCCGCTGAAATGCTGGAAGAACAGTTTAAAATCTCTAAGAAGAAATGCATCAATGAAGTGGGAAAGGAAGAGTTAAAGGACCAAAAATAAACAAACAACAAACAAACAAAACCAACGAAACAAAAACCCCCAAAAGCTAAAATGGAAAACTTGAACTGCAGCACAGAGGGCTGCCTTTAAAGTGGGTGGGCACAGGAAGTGGGCATTTACCAAGCCCTGTGAGTTTAAACTTTGGCTTTCTTGATCTTGGAGAGACGATGACACCCAAAGGCTGGAGAAGGTAAGGACGTAAAAGGACACTGCCACCCATGTCCCAGGTTCCAATAATTTACACCCGTAGTGCAAGGAGAGTAACAGCAAACCTTCGCTCCCCCCTCCCATCTTCCAGGGGAACTGCCTTTGCCAAAACACTCCTCTGGGAAGGGGATCAGAAATTTTCTCTTTGGAGGTTGGGACTGCAAAGTCTATAAAACCTCTTCACAACCATATAAAATAAAATGTAAAAATAACATTAGGTTAATTCTTAGGCAGCTCTCTAAAGGGATTGGGCTTCAGCCTCAAGGGATTCCAGTCAGTGCTAAGAAATGTGAGCTTGTGGACAAATCACACAGAAAGTAAAGGACAGAAGCACAGAAAACACTTAGTAAATCAGACCCACTGACCTTAGGTAGTGGACTCGGCAGGTATAGGCTGCAAAAGTGTCTTTATCAGACTATATAACCAGACTATATAACCAGACTGAAAACAAGAGTAAAGGCACTGGCTGCCTCCATGTGACCACATGAAGAAGAATCAGAATAAGGGGAAAATAGGCTCTGCTTCAGTGGGAGAAATGGGAGGAAACTCAGAAATCCTCACAACAGTGATAGTGTATGAAAGTGTGGAGAAAAAGATGAGCAGCAAAGAAAACAAAAGCAAACTTGCTCCAGCCACGAGATGCCGTGGTAGGAAGCAAGCAAACACAAAACACCTCCAGAAAAGTAAGCCACAGCTGGCCCTAATGGGTGGAGATGGGCCGGCAGTTGAGAGCACTTGCTGCTGCTGTAGAAGATGGGGGTTTAGTTCCTAGCACCCACAGGGCAGTGCACAACCATCTGTAAATTCAGTTCCAGAGGTATTCAGATACTTTCTTCTGGACTCCACGGGTACTTACATATGTGGTGAACATGCATACATGTAGCAGAACACTCATAAAATAAAAATAAAAGACTCTAGGGGTGGGTGGAATGTACACAGTCCTACATTTAGGACTTGAAAATACTCCCAAGGTTCCAGTTGTGGGTTTTAGACAGTGATTTCTCCAGTGGGTGGCCAGCAGTGTGCAGGAATTCCTGTCATTGCGTGTGACCCAGGGCTGGGTCACTGGAATCCTTGTCACTGTGGGTGACCCAGGGCTGGGTCACAGGAATCCCTGTCACTGTGTGCGACCCAGGGCTGGGTCACAGGAATCCCTGTCACTGTGTGTGACCCAGGGCTGGGTCACTGGAATCCCTGTCACTGTGGATGTCCCAGGGCTGGGTTACAGGAATTCCTTGTCACTGTGTGTGACCCAGGGAATCCCTGTCTCTGTGTGTGACCCACGGCTGGGTCACAGGAATCACTGTCACTGTGAAAAACCCAGGACTGGGTCACAGGAATTCCTTGTCACTGTGTGTGACCCAGGGCTGGGTCACAGGAATCCCTGTCACTGTGTGTGACCCAGGTGAGGTGCTACCTTGAGTGAGAACCAATTCCTTGAAACTGTGCTGCCTTAGAGGCCTGAGAACAGTAAATGAGCACCAGCTAGGAAGTCTGAACTCACATCTTCTCTAGGGAGAAAGACAGCTCTGGGAGGCAGCTGTGGAGAGTGACAGGGACAGACGCTGAAGAGCTGACAACCATGGGTGAGAAAATTGGTATTGAAAGTGTATAGGGAACAGTAACACACTTATATGTACTATGTATGTACACACACACACACACACACACACACGCTCAGTGGCCTGGAGCAGACCTCATCAAATGACAACCCGGGAGTTGGACAGCCTGATGTCAGTGAGTAGCTGAAACTCTGGAGTCAGCCACCTGCTTATCCCCGCTACAGCCCAGGAGCCGTGCAGCTCCAGGGGACGGCCTGACACACCTGACACACGTAGCGGCAGCCCTCCAGCAGCGTGAGGTCTTATAAATATGAAGATCCTGAGACTGATCCTCTCCCCGTACAGATCTCAGCTGTCTTGTTGCTCTCCATACTCCCAACACACTTGGAAGGCAACTCCTAGTGAGAATACTAGCCATCCTAGGAAGAAGGATTGGAGGGTCCCAGGAGGGCGAGAGAAAGCCTGTCCAAACCACAGACTGCAAGGCTAAGGATGGTCTTTAGAGGCTCCTGGGTTGAAAAAGAGAAAGTCTACTAAAGGAAATGAGGCTCCAGGAAGACATCTGCCGTCCAACCCATGATATAACTACAGTTGCTCACCCTCGTTTTTGTCCTTCGTTCCGTTTTCTTCCTTTCTTCATTTCTTTTCTCCTTCCCTCTTTATCCAGTACTAGGAATTGAACCATGGACTTCACCCATCTTAGGCAAGCACTCTACAACTGATCTGTGTACTTGGCTATTTGATT